GCAATCCTCAGAGACAACACAGCTCCTACTTCTTGGTACTATTGAAGGTAAACTCGAGGATGTCATGTATGGGGCAGTAACCACGACGGATGAAGATATGAAGATTCAGTCGGCCTACTTAAAAGATAGCGTGCGAGATAGCAAAGTGCTTTACAACATCGTTCATCCAAGTTTTCACGATCCGTTCCGTTCTGTAGCTTTGAAATGGAGACTTTACGAAGAATGCGACTACGTGTCACTCGACACAACAGGAATGACTAAACTCTGTGGATATGAAAGGATAGGATACAGCATTTCACACTCCGTAGCTCTTCCAGAAATTCCAAGCTTCGAGAAGACGCACAACATTGAACGAGGAAACATGTCCGTGTGTACATTGTACCGCCAAAAAACACCAAGTACCGTGGAATGTTACGTACGCGGATTCTTTGACCTAAAAGCGAAAAAGGAAGTGCTTAAGAACATTTCTATTCAAACAATTGCGACGCAGTGGTCGGCTTTTACACGAATGAGCACATTTGCTCTCGCAAAGAAGCTATCCTGGAAGGTATGCAAGGACTCTGATTGGAACTCTCAATTTTCTCGAACCAATTGGTTGGCCGACAACCTCTACGATTCAATTGTACTTACCCATAGACGTCGACCAGCAACTGCGAACATATGTGGTATTTGCCATCAAACCTCAGCCTTTATCATGTGTATCCGACGGACCTGTACGAGCTGCAAGCTGCCAGTCTGCTCGAAATGCGTTGACAAGAGAAAAGTCATTGTTCTTACACCCAACCAAAACACAGCACTCGAAAAAAAGCGTTTGTTTTGCAGTTCATGCATGACAGCGGTGGAAAGATACGATGTGATGCTTATAGTGAGAGAGGAGCTCGTTTCAAAATTGAAATACGAGATTGGAGAAGAAAACGACGACATGTACTCGGCCCGAACATCATCGTCAACTGCCAACTTTAGTTTCTACTCTAGCATCGAATCTTGACAGCTCACCATGTGCCCAACATTGATTGTCAATAGCAACATTGTGGACTAGCACGAAAGGAAGTGACGCAAATAGACTAAATCTCAGTTCATATAACATGTCTGATACTAAATTTAGATCACGCAACACAACATGTAGATCTAGATGTACATTACTTGGCTAGAGAGCAGAATATTTTACTACACCTAAAATTTCAAAGTGAGTTCCTATCTTTTTGCAGCACAATCCCCCAAGGAATAAGTTTTACGTAGCGAACATAATAATAGTGAACGAACCCTTAATTTATATCGGTAGTTACCAGGTGAGTATTTCTTTTTTTAAAAATGGTACGTTATTCGCAAAAGAATATCAAGGATGGATGTCAATTGAGGTTATTTTATAACTCTTGGACTTTAAAATGCTCTGAGAAATGCTATTCCTCGATAATTCGGTTGCCTCCAAAATACCATTCATACGTTATTTGAAGTATCTAGCAGCATCAGCAGAAAATACGACATGCTTGAAAGTTGCAACCATCAGTTTTTTATAAAAACATGATAGTGTAAAGTAAGAGAGTAATGTGCTGTAATGCTAGCTTTTCTTGTTGGAGGTTTGAAAATTTTTGTCTCATTCTGACTACATAGCTAATGTTTGCTATCCTATTTTAAAGCTTTATGCACGAATAAACACCACAAACCGTTGCTGTGCGCCGTCATTCAACTAGAATTGTATCAGTTGCCAATTTTCCTACTATTGCATCTTATTTTTAAATCAGAATAAAGTCGACGATTCGGACGATATTAAAAATGTAGGAAGGTTTCTCGTGACTGTCGACGATGAGATGAGAATATAAGGACGAATGCTTTTGAAACCATTGAAAGCTGAAACATGTTGCACATGATACTGATTCGAACCTAAAAATACGAGAACTAACGAATGCCGATTTGGTCTTTGCAAATTTTCTTCTTTTCGGTGCGGCTAGTCCGAAAAAATATTGGATTTGATGATACTCGGATTTTACCAACTAGCGATAGGATTCAAGCGCGACAGCAAGTCTACGTTATATTAAAAAAATTAATAAATCGGAAGCGAGGCTGCAGTGCATTTAACACCGTTAAATCTTTGTCTCTCAAAATCTGCGTTAGCAAATGCACAGATGTTGGGTTCGTGCGTACCAACAAGTCGATTACGATCAGCATCCTTTCTACCACTGATACGAGAGCTATATCGTGGTGGTGTTAAAGGCACTCGGGGTGTGCCAAACCAATAATATAAAAAAACAATGTCTATGTAGACACTAACTGCAGCGGAACTGCAGTAGCTTAGCGTTTGAGGAAGCGTAATTTAGGTCACCGATCTTTCGTTGTATACCTAGAGCAAGTACGAGTGTAGCGGATCGCAACCCGCTATCTCCAACAGTAGTTAGTATCTTGATCCAGATACAGAAAAGGTTGCCGTGTACTTTGCACATATGAAACTTTAACTCTCATTGTACGCGTCAACAAACGCACAGCGGTTGGAGCCGTGCGCTCCTGCAAAGAGCTAGCATGAAAGCTTCTAAGATAATGAGCACTGTGAGATCGCTCTGTTTATCTAAGAGTTCATATATTCAGAAGTACTTTTATTACCATATATAACAATTATATGCGGTTCAGGAAGCCTAGTACGGGAAGAAATCAGCTCCAAATTTGCAGTCCAAGGTTCTCCAGGAAATGTGACAGCTGTGATTGGTCGAGTCTAAAGTAAAATTAAATTACAAGCTGCTTGAGATTTCTTGTTAGGTGAATAGCCAGTAGCTACATCCCCTCGTCCTTTTTAATGGCAGACCAGCCAGATTGTAACTACTACGCCAGAGTACTTTGGCGTAGATATGACAACGCTAGGACGAGTAAGACAGGGAAATAGGAATTTTCTCACTTGTGTTTCCCCATCAATTTAACAGGTGAACAGCTGCTACCAATCCTTTCTTCACTATAGCGTCAGTACCCACGATGTCAAATAAGCGCATGGAAGTCTTCTCCTGGGAAGTGTTGACTACTACCACTAGAAGCTCAATATGAGGGTGACTCCGGCAAAGCGTAAGTAACGTACGTGCTTTCTACGATCGCTCTTTACTGCACAATCACGTGACGATGACGCGACGACTTCGCAACTTGAAGATGAAGAGTGGTATAAGAATGGCGGAACATCTAGTCTATTTTGACAAGCAAGTTGTGGGTATTCAGACAAGGAAATGACCAGTTGAAAAGTCGCGTCAGGTGGTACTTCTGCCTTCGAAATGTGATTATATCTCATCGTGGAGCGACAAAGACGAAGACTTGAGCCGATGCTTTGCTTCGAACAAATCAGATGATGAAGAGGCAAAAATAAATAGAAGTGATGGTCTACTGACATAGGAACGTGCTGAGATCGACGAAGAAGAACCCATAACCGATGCTTTCGTACTTAGTAAGGTGTAAGGATGATACGGACTTACCGACTGCGTATACTCAAGCAATGACAATCGATGCTGCACGGAGGTGGTGCGAAGCTATTGAAGCTGATCTTTGCTACCATGAGCAGAACCAAACATCGATATTGAAGCCAAGAGGTAAGAACAATTGCACAAAAGAATTACCACGGGTCTTTGCTATGAAACATGACCAAAATAGCACGTTGTGCAGTACAAGGCACGACTTGTCGGAAGGGTCCAAGCTAAGAATGAAATCGATTTCATGACATTATTTAAAATTTATACTTGTATAATTTATATTTAAATAATGTCAAGGAATCGATTTCATTCTTAGCTAAATATTCTTGACATTATTTAAATTCGGATCATACATGCAGTGTGTGTGCCACATGCGACAACTACTGCATTTCTGAATAATGTGCTGACAGACAATGCTTTATACGAAAGTTTCGCTAATTATCGATAATTCTCGGGGATATGTATGTCATTTGAACAAGAATATGCACTGATTGAAACAAGCAGAAAAGCCTGGAGTAAGACACTTTATAAACAATGGCTTTAAGGGAAACGTAGGAGATCCGCGCGTTTATGTCAAGCGATTACGAGAGGGTTTCATGTACGTTGGACTATATCTGGATGACATGATTGTCGCAGCAAAAACAAGAAAGGAGATCAATCAGGTCAGTAAAGTGCTCAAGTATACCTTCAAGATGCGGCAAGGTGGAATACATACATTGACCAATAAAGATCGGCCAAAACTCTTACGAGTCGACGGGCTCAGACGTATCGACGACCAGATTCCAATAAAAGTTGACAACACGTGCGCATTAGGATCCAGAGTTGTCACCAACGCAGTCCCCAACAGCAGATACATTTCAATTAGCGATCTGCTCGAAACCATATCGATTCTTGATCAAATGCCTACTGTACATAACTACATGCAGAGACCTAAATCCTCAAATATGGATTTGGAGCAACCATGCGTTGCTAATGTGAGTACGAATTTTGTACGAACAAAACGTAATATATATGCATGTAAAAACAAGTATTACCATGTGCCTGCACATCGTTCTGATTGTGATGTCTCTAATTCTTTGAGCGTGCGTAGTGGCTAGTAGCATCAATAGAAAAATGTAACGCACTTGAAGGTTGCGAGCATCAGTGTGTAATTGATCCATGGCAGTGTTTATTAAATTGAAATTGAAAAGCAATGTGCTGTAATGCTAGTGTTTCCTGTGGGAGAATGGTAAAATGTGTCTCATTTAACGTAGAGAATATCGGCCAACATATAGATTTGAGAGAATTGAGAGATCCGCTCAGAGTCCTTGAGTAACTTTTTTGCAAGAGCTATTGTGCTTATTTGTGTGAATTCCGACTACTGCGTCGCAATTGTTATTACAATTGTTCCCGAGCACTCTTCATTTACTCGCTTTCAAATAATAATGTGTTTATTGCAAAAGATGATACAAATAGAAAATAATCGCGAGATGTGATACAATAGTGTTTTAAACACCATTGCTATGAAAAATAAGGGGAAGGTCAACAGCAGAGTCTATCCTTCAGGCACATGGAGCAAAAAATGGAGTGGATCATTTTATCTCCATACTTCTTGAGCAGATTACCTCATCATGTAGCTACCCATACCACAACCTCGCAACTCGGAACTAGGCCGCTAACGCTCAGATTCACAGTCTCAAGTCAGGCAAATCCAGTCACTAAACAAGGTCACATCAGGTACTGATACC